GCCAAGTCTCTGTTCAAGGGTGCCGGTGCCAACATCCTCCGTGCCGTGGCCGGTGCTGGTGTGCTCGCCGGGTACGATAAGTTGCAGGTGATCGTTTTCGGGAAGAAATATGGATCTGGTGGTGCTTAAGCGGGGCTGTATCCTTGAGAGGATTTGTTCAGTTTTTAGATGTTGATGAAAATGTCCACTCCAGAGTTTTTGGACTTGATCCGGCGATTTTTTTTCCTTCAATAATTTAGTTTTGAAGGGAGTGATATTCCCTAACGCATTTGATATATTATTAACTTTAAAGGGTCACGATTTAGTTTTGGATTTAGATCCACAGTTTGTAGCTGCTTGTCACTTTTGCCCCTTTTAGAATCTCTAAATAATTCCTCAGAAGATACTTTCATTTGAATTTTATGATGTTGATTTTAGCGAACTGGATTTTGCAATCTCTTGAAATTGAGGATGCTCACGTGGATGGTGTTGTATAAGACCATGTTTTTGGATCTAAAGAAAATTATCAATCCAAATTAATCCAACACTTGTCCCGATTTTATAATTCAACTCTGTTCAGTCCTACTTCTATTTTCAGTTGCGTTGAGATTCGATTGATCTTTTCTTTTTTCTAAATTTTCTCTAATAATTTTTAATTCTAAGCTTGTAGTCTTATTTTTAAATAAATGTTCTACTTGATGCTCTAAAAACTGAGTGTAAAATTGCTTATGAAACAAACTTGAGACTCGGGCATGACATTTAAATGCACCATTAATATATAGCACACCATTTATCAAAAAAGGTAAAATACATTTTTGTCATTGAATTTGAGGTTAAGTTTGTATTTAGTCTCAGTAAAGATCTCTAGAGTCAAACATGAAGTGACATTTGCTTATGTGTTAATTTTGACCCAACCTCAATCTCAGTAACTCGAAGTGTATTTTACCAAAAAAAAAAAAAAAAAAACATCTACACCATCTGCTTCAATTAAAATAAAAAAAAGGGTCAGAWGTGTGATAAGAATAGAAAATTACCAGTCCTTGTCCATACCCCATACCAATCATAGAAAAAGTGTTTAATCCAAAATTTAATTCTTCATATTAAATTATGCGATATAATTAATGCTCTACAACCGAAATTTAAAATTGCTTACAAAACGAATACAAGAAATTTGTTAATTTGTTAAAGTTTCGAGTTAACTSACCATAAGAATAGAAACTAAATTCCTTGTAAAAGAAAAATAAAAAACGAACCCCTTTTTCTGAACAACATTTATTCAGAATTCAGATTCAGAATTCCTTTTTGCTAAAAAATTAAAATCGAAAGATATAAAATCCGACAATGTCGGGGACAAAAAATTAACCCCCGAGTACGTAAAATGGAGCGACGGAGATTTTTACTGTTTTGGTAGAAAGAAAAATCCGATGCGTCGTCTAGGCTTTCTGGACATTGAGAAAGGTCAGTGGGGCCCACCCCCACATCCTTGGTAATAAAATCTTCTCCTTCGTCTTGTCGTCTACMAATTTGGACAGCTTCTTTTGTTTGATTTTACGTATCTATAAAGATATTACAGGGAACCTCAATTTAAAAATCATTCCCTATATAAGATATTGAATACTATTTTAAAAATTGGTTCGATTCTCCACTTCGCAATTGTTAAACTTGAAAAAGAAAAACTCTTTCAATTTTATTTTAATTCCTAAATTATATATATATATATATATATATCCATTTAGGTTTTTTAGTTGTCTTCTTTTAGGTTTGGCGATAAGTTACTAAAGGAAGTTGGAGTTGCATATAAGAGATGCTAGTTGGAATGTCTTAAATCAAATTCCTTCCTCATTTTATGGTATTGATTTCACCATAAATATTCATACAAATTGTTATGATGGAGTCGGACTCACCAATCGATTTAGACGTTGTTCCAAGTAAAGTACCACTCGAACACGACATTTCGAATGTTATGATGTTCTGCTAGGTGCACCCCTTCCAAAGTAGCAAAGATTTATGCTCGAACAGGTGAGTATGTTACTTTAGTCAATTTCATCATTAGTCACTGCGTGACTACTTCCCCTCTCATTTTAGCAATGATCGATGCTTTAATGCTATTGAGTGTGCTCCTGCATGTGATATCAACATTAACTTTGAATTATCCTTACGAGGAGACTTCTAGCAACACTAGGTATTGTCCATACTGGCAGTTTAACGCGATCTCCTTTCGACTTTCCTCTTCTCTTCTCCATGTGAAATTTCCTTCCAATATGATAACACCCACTCCTTTCTAATTTTGGCATTTAGTATTTGTTTGAAATTGCAGTTTGAATTTCAATCCTAACATAAGGACTAAGGTCCCATGATGGCCACCTATCTTATGAATTAATTCCTATGTGTTTCTCGATACCAAATGTTGTAGGATTAAGCGATTGTTCCGTGAGATTAGTCGAAGTGCGTGAAAGCGGATCGGAACACTCATGGATATACTAATAATAATAAAAAAAAAGACTAAAGTCAAGCTGAATTTCTATTATTACAAGTGATTAATGGTTCAAAAACCATATTTATAAGTATTTTTTAAAATTGTATTATCCATACAATTGCTTTTACAGACATACATGTGTAAATATTTGAGAAAACTATACTCTCAATAAATTTTGTTTAACAATAACAACAACAACAAATAAAATGGAAGAAACAACATAATTATGAGAAACTAATCCCCATATTAGCGGAGTTAACCCAACAAAATTACAGAACCTGTCTTTTAGAATAATTGCTTTTTCTTTAAAAAAAAATTGTAAAATTGTTGACCACTTTTTTCTCAAAAATAATAAATTGGTTTTCAATATAATAATTAGAAATAAATAAATAAATAAAAGGGCAGAAGAATTAATTCGTTGCTTGGGAGGAAGGTTTTGTGGGGGTCCCCCACCAAGGCGAAACCATTTTTACTCATCTTTTCACATGGAAATATGATAATGATTATGACCCATTTTTCCTTTTAATTGTTTTCATATTATTTCAAAAAATCATTTTGCGCTTTTTTTAATACGTTAAAAAGTAACGGAAAACTGATGTGGCGTTGATATAGACCAACAAAGTGTTGATGTGGGGACCAGCTTGATGTTAAGGTCTATTGTCAATTGTTCGATAACTTGTGAAGAGAAAAAACGTACATTAGCATGGTGTTCGYTGAAGTGAATTTGACCGTGAAGAGGATGTATTAGTTAGTGTTCTATACTGGATAAAAACTATACAGAGATCAAAGAGTCCTATTTATGAAGGTAGTATTTGGATGGTCGGGATCTTTAGTAGATATGATTGAAAATCATGTTGTAAACGACAAAGTTCGAGTAGACATGTAGTCGAGTGTTGAGAAATATCCTTTAACCTATAAACTTAAGATTTTAGGCCTAATGGTAATTTAACATAGTATCAAAATATGATGTAACGTGTTTGAATTCTTATAGTATCATTTTTTATCTAGTCTGGTTCTAATTTCCCAGGGCTACGAGTGAAGGAGAGTATTAGCAAATATATCTTTACATTTTTATTATAAACTTTTAGATTTAGTG